TGAAATACATATTCTGGCCAGTAAACTGTACTTGGTTGCGATATCACTCAGTCTGTCTTTGTTCATAGTTGATACTTGAATGAGTGTTAGAGCGTATCAAAAGGCATTCTGTCCACTTGCATAAATTTTGGAGTCCTTCTTAATGCCTACAATTTGTCATGCTCGCCTAAATTTTTCTGTTTGACCTTGCCTTGGAGAAAATATGTCTCCTTTAGAGATCAAATCGCCTGCTGATAATCCATCCCATATCGTTCATTTCGCATACAAATGCCACATTCTTCAGCATTTTCCAGAACACTCTCGCAGTTTTCCGTTCTCTGATGACTCCACTGCGTTGGTAAGTCTGCTTAGTTGTGTGTTCTCTCCTATGTTCGCATTACTAGCGTATTTTCTGGATATCTCGGTTTTGCGATTGGATTGAGGAGCCTCTTTCCGAACTAGAAGTTATTTAGCAATCCATTTCCAAACCAGCGTTTGGATCTGAAGCCTTTGGGTCCGCATCATTATTTGTGCTGCAAACTTGTTTGCCTTCCAGTAAAGTTACTTATTTTTGTTAGTGCAGTACTCGAATGTGTCCATTTTTGTCAGTATTCCTCCATAAACATTTTGCCGGCAAGAAATTCCTTATGCACTTCAATCCTTTGTCCTTTTATTGCGCTTTTTTCACATTTCCTGCAGAGTGAGTGGAATTGCGCGAGAGAAGTTGACTTGCGCAATAGATGACAGCTAGCCCGTGCCTTCCTTATTCTACTATCTTTTTTTAAAAGAAAACTTGTCGACAGGTAGTCCTCCATTTCGTAACGGCTATGGTCGATCGCATGCATCGCGAACAATCAAGTTTTTGTTTAGGTTTATATACTTTTTGACACATGGTGTTGTTAGTTCGCCAGGACAAGGGCGCACGTATCAACTTGTCTAAGGTGTAAACAGCTTTGATTCACTGATTTACATGTTTCCTTGTCTTTGTGCTGTAGGTTGTCATGCCCAACGGCTTGCGCTTCTTCACAGAGACACATCCTTTGCTTCGGAAGGCACGCGGACCTTTTCGCCACGCCTTTATTATTACCCGAGAGGACGGTCAACGAGTATTCGGTTATGCGCTCCTCTTTCCTGAAGAGGTCACACACCCGGCAGTTAAGGCCGCCTTGCGGGAAAAACAAAAGGCTTTGGGCTTTTCCCCGGACTTGCAGTGCCGCTTCTTTACCATGAAGGTCAACTTACATAATCGTCTATGCTTTTGCTTTGCTTTGCAAAGCTTAATTTGAGACTCCTGTTTCCTTTTCCTCTCAACTGTAGGCAGTGGGAATCCTCTCACGTTGGGCATTTGCTAGTGGATTTTTTGGTTGGTTGGAGGATCTCTGGTCTAGCGTGTACAGAGAGCAGATGGGCGAACTGACCACCGAGTCCTTTGTCTACAACCTCCTCTTTGAAGCTCAACTAGCTGAGCCTGCTCAGTGCAGTGTTGTCGCTGGGCCCACTTGTTCGCACTACTTTTTCCGACCATGTCAGTTTCTACTATTTTCTTTGCATCCTTTTTCGCGTTTTGATCACATCAAAAGGTCCATCGCTCCCCTTCATTCTTCTTCAAATCGGGACCGTCCACTTTAGTAATTTCACAGCCTAGCATGAGCATGCCATTGTTCATGGGACATTTCCCGCTTATTCGGTTGCCAATTTTCAACAAATAGTGGTCAAGATTTGGCGTTATTTTTCGTAAGGCATAGTTATGTAACTATGGATTCGTTCCGAGAGCGCATCTCTTAGTCTCTGATTGTTCACTGGCTTTCATTGAAGCCAAAGTCACGTCGTCCTTATGAACTGAATCACATGAAGTAATCGGCTTTTGCGCCTCTCCCTACAGGTCAGTCATCTGTAGTGCACGTAGTTTACGTGCATTTCACCCCATCGAGCACTTTTTGCAAGCCCCTCTACCTGGCGTATCATCTTCACCTGTGATGCTTTAATGCTTGAACGTAGAGCCATCATGTTTCATTTGCTGGCAATTTAGCAGTTTCATGTCATTCCTGAATCCCTCATCGTTTCACACCTTGATTACAATCTTGGAGGTGGCATTTAACAAGTCCGTCCCATTCATGTCATTTGGGCAATTACCGCCACCCTATGATGACAGATCATTTCAGACACTAATAGGTTGATAAATTCCTGTTTTTCCTTCATAGCCAATCACCATGGAGAAGATGGGGCTCATTTTGCCGCATCCAGCTGGTTGCCCGTCTTTGAATACCCTCTTGTGCAGCTATTTCAGCTCTTCTCCTCTAGCAACTTGATCCGACTCTTAACATGCGCCTTCCTCGAACATCGCATCGTCCTTCTATCTGCTGGTGCGTCATCCCATTGACCTACTTAAATTTGATTTAAGTAGCTACACCGTTCATTATCATTTGCCACTTGAAGATTACTATCGTCTTATGGTGGTCGGTGAGGGTCTGATTTGCCTCTTACAACCTTTTGTCTGGCCGCACGTCTATGCTCCTGTGCTTCCGGCCACACTAACTCACTTTCTCGATGCTCCTGTACCGTATATTATGGGGATGCGTTTTCAGCACCCGCCCACGCCCCCACAAACGCCGGCATCGCAACTTGTTTCTGCGACAAGCACTCCTCGTGGTTCATTACTTTCACTTCCATCCTTCGCTAACTTTGGATTGGCCAGTGAAGTGAGCCAGTTTTAAGCTTCACCCACTTCATACAATCATTCCATTTGCAATCGTTAGTGTTTGTATTCCACAGGCTAACGTCTGCTACTTGGATATCGATCAGGGCACAGTCCACTCCACGGATGTGGACTTGCCGACGTTTCCTAACTCTACAGAATTGCAACAAAACATTGAGGCAGTGCTCTCCGTCTACCAACATTACCAACCCAGTAATCAAAGTTTGGATCGTCCTCTGCACTCCAACTCTGTCGTTGCCTTTACACCCTTGTCGCGAAGCCATTCGGTCTCGCGACACACAAGTAAATGCTATCTCGTTCTTGTGGTCCACTTTTCATATTTCTCCTGTCATCTGTTCCCACCTCTTTGACACGCAAGCTCTCATTCTTACTCTCACTGCATGCATGAGACAAACTCTTTGGCAGAGCTATTATATTTATGGTTAAATTCACTCGCATCACGAACAACTTGGTCACTTTAAAAGTAGATAGAGCTGTGGTTTAGCCTGGTTTGGTGGAAAAATGTAAGATCTGATGCTGATCGTCGGCGAAATTCACCAATTGCACCTCGTCAAAAGAAAAAAAGTATGTAACTCATTTTTTGGAGAAGGAAGAGGGTATTTATGTGAATTTCTTTCCTTTTCAGGCTTTGACACGCTTCCACGACCTCCACCCAGACTCACTCCGGTGGCCTTGTCGACCTCTACGGTAATCAGACGACCTCAATTGGACCCAAGTCCATCGACTATGCGAGTACGTAGTAGCTGCGCCTCCACTTACTCAGCTGGAATTTGTACAACTTTGCATTGCCTCTCTATTCGCTTGCTTCTATTGTAGCCAAATTGCTGCTCTTCAGGTTTGTGGTAGCGTTGGAGTTGGCTTTTTTTAACGCCTAAACTTATGCCGCATTGCTTTCGTGTTGTTTGCGGTGTGTCGGTTTGTTTTGTCGCCTCTATTTTGCTACTCGACCACGATGACACACGGCTATAGGGAGACGATTGAAAGACTCCGAACACCATTTTTAAACCAAAAAGCAGGATAGCAAATTGATATTTACTAATGTGCCTCCAATTTTAGCGATCCGCGTCTTACCGCTTGATGGAACAGATTGCAGTGACAAATACTGTCGGGTCAGAAGGACGTCTACAAAATTCCCTCATAGATACTGCTTTTGTCTCTCCCACGACAAATAGTTCGGAGCCCCCAAAAAATGGGTCGTACCCTACTGAAGAGTATTTCTCGTGTATGCGAGCAATTGCCAGTGAACTAGTCTCTCGAAGGGTACGTTTTCAAAGATGAGCCCCCTTGCCTAATGCCATTGGCTTCAATGTGCGTTCTTTTCTCCCCCCAGGAGCTGGCAGACTACGCCGAGCTGCTCAAGTTCAACTACGCTCTGCGTGACATCTTTTTAAATCACCTTGCAGAAATATTTGTTGACTTTGAGACTTTTGTGGTGGTTGGACACAACAACAGTGGTGATGCATCGGGGGATGCTAGTGGACCTGGCAGTTCGGATCTCCAAGCCTTCGATAAAGTTGGCTTCCTCTCTGACTGTCCTGAAACTCACATGGCCTTTCTCAGGCAACTTTTCACCAACTATATTTGTGTCATTTAAAGTAGTGTGAAGGTCTCACTTTCCTTCTACTCTCTTTCTCAGTGCCTTTTTGGAGACTCAAATGTTCGCCACTTTCTTGGACACGCATGTCGCGACGCTCGCAGTAAATCAGTCTCAGCGTTGTAGCAAATGCGGGCTTTTGCGTGGTGGAGTTTCATCGAATGTGTCAAGTTGTCAACCCCTTGCCCTTCCAGTTTCCGCATTTCTGACCCGAATTCGAGCTCTCAAGTCTGAAGCCGCGGTACATCACCAAACACCCGCAACAGACCGTCTTTTGCGCAAGTCACTGTATCATTCAGCAACGCACACTCCAACCGCCGATCGTAGCAGGAGGCGAGATCGATTCTTTGGAAGTGGGTGGTTTGAGATTGAATCTCTTATCGTTCTATGCACGTAAAAATTTGCTACCTTCATTTATCCTCTCACAGACCTCCCTAAGTCTCCTCTGGAGGGTGTTCAGTTTTGCAGCGTGCCGTCGCCTCATCCCCTCTTCTCGAAAATGAATCCCTCCTTTTCCACTCTCCAACGTTCACACCAGGTAACGACTAATTAGCAAAACGGTAACGAATGTCGCTCCCAAGTGTTATCCTATCAGCGTCAGCCATTAAAGATCATCTTGGCTGTTCACATTTCAATTCATGCCCCACAAATTTTTCCTAAATAGCAATATCATTATGCTGATTGACCTCCTGTAGGTGGGTCACTTTCGCCTGCTGGAGCGCAGCTTTCTCAGCAAAGCGCCAGCCAATCGGCGGTGTGGAAGCGAATCACCACCACCACCTTCCGCAGTTGCCATTGTACCCTCGCCATTGCTGACCGAGGAGACAGCCACTAGGACAGATGAGGAAGCGGTAGGGCTATCATCGTCAGCTATCCTTCAGCTCGGTGGCAGTGATGGTGGTAGGGGAGATGAGGCTCCGAGGACGGTACTCTGCGAGCACTGTTCCACACCACAGGCTCTGCCTCCATCCACGCTAGAGCAGGCTTTGACCACTGGGCCTCACTTCACCGCATCCCGCACCATCCAGGTAAGCAGGCAAGCCCATTCTCCAAACGAGAGCATTCCGATCGCCTTTGGAACAGATGGCAACACCCAATTCCTATACGCAATTACTTGCGTTTGGATAAACTTTCGACTTGAAAAATTGAAATTGTTTACCGAGTCATTGCTTCTCGGTCGTTGTTGCCAGAGAGAGGGGACATTTTCGGGTGAAGTTTTCAAGGCAAAGGCAAGTTTGGTCTACTAATTATTGTCGTTGTTTATCGCAGCTGAGAGGCAGAGACGGACTTACGCGTCTGCTAACGGGACCAGGACCCAATGGGCTAGAGACGGGCTCCTTGTCGCCTTCAATGGCTCAGGCCCACTGGGACTTTGTTGACTCTCTATTGGAGGAATGCAAGCATCGGGTAGGCTTCTCTACAATCACCTTCAGCTCTGCCATGCCTTTGGTAAAATTAGGCAACCAGTGAGAGGTAACGCTTCTTCTTCGCCTCCCCTTCTAAAGACAAAACGCATGGTAATCCAGAAGATGGGTCACGAGGCACTGCATTTGGGACACAACTACCAATCGGTGTCGGAGGTGGAGGAGAACACTCTGGTCTCGGGACTCTGCGACCTTCTCGAGCGTATCTGGTCCCATGGCATCCAGCGCAAACATGTAAATCGTCGAACTTCATTCGACACGTCTATAGCAAAAACAAAAAGACATTTTTATCATAATTTCTTTTTAGGGTGCCTCCGCGCTGTGGATGCACATTCTGGCCTATGTGGAACGGAATACGTGTTCCTCACTCTCATCTCTTGCGGTGTCCGCGCACACTCCCACCCATTCACACGCCCTAATTGACCGTTTGTCTCGATCCCCATCGACTGCTCGAGATGCAAGGAAATTTGACAGTCTACCACGGCGCCTGTCCGTGACCACCCCCGAGACCGCAGCACTGTCACCGCCCACGTCTACGGGTCGTGGACGTCGTTCGCTGTGGATACCGACCCGTAGTCGTTCTATCACACCTGCCGTGCCCTCCTCTGACTCGCCACGACCCTCACGCCTGCCTGATAATGCACTAGTCATCTCGGTATCGTCCCTCCTCGATGCTGGGGGCTCTTCTGTTACAGCCTTGTTGGACGACGTGGAGGCGGTTAAAAGTGTCGCCTCTTCTGCAGGCTACAAACTTCGTACCAACATTGGCCTTGCTAGAGCTTTTGTTCGACTGGCATTAGAAAAGAAACGACTCTCCGCCTACCTTAAACTGCTTCTCTCCGATTCTGTGCTTTTAAGGTAAGTTTAATCGTGAGGACTGTCACGTCTCGTTTTGTTGTAACAACCCTTCCTTTTGATTTTGGCAGAGAACTCTACTCACGTCACGCCTTTCTTCGTTGTGAGGAGGAGAGGGAGCAGTTTTTGGTTCACCTACTCTCCCTCGATGCAGTTGACTACTTCTCGTTTACACGAATGTTGCAGAAGGCTGAGATGCTCTACCGAGTGGCTATTGTGAGTGGGGGAGGTGGTCGTGCTCGTCTCCCCTTGGCCTTTTCAGCCAATGCTTGGGTGTGTCTACGTGGGCACCTTGGCAGTTCAGGTCATGTACCGCTCCCTCGTGCCTCGCCGTCTTATGTGGAGTTTCGGGTAAGTTTCTGCCTCCACAACGTCGCCGCCTGACACGTGTCAATAACTTTGCCTTCATCAACAGTGGTGCAAAGTGGAAATTTCTTTTCCTCTCCAGCATCAGAACTTGGGCATAATCAACACTCTTTTAATTGGTCATGACAACGCCGGTTTCTCACCCAACATGTTCGTGGAGACGGTGCTTGTTGTCACGCCCTTGACCAACCACGCCTACTTGTAAGTGTCACCTCTTTCCCTTTTTTGCCTCTCTCCCCACACAACATCTCCACCCTTGCAAGACTTGGGCCAGTGAAATGTCTTACCTCTTAATTTATTTCAGGTTTCCATGTGGGCATTGGCTAGGCCGTGGGGTAGAAGACAACAGTTGTGAACGCCTCCTAATCGGTCAGATAGCTCGAGTCAGCAAGGACGGAACCAGTGAGTGGCTTCCAATTCCTTTGAATGATACATTTCTCATCATATGTTCCAAAGTCAACGGTGTTCATCCCCTTGTTTTTTTGAAGTTGTGGTGCCTCGATCGGCGGAGCGTGCTTCTGCGGAAAGTGAAGAAGTCGCCTCCAGCTTGGCCACTCCATTGATGCGACTGTATTCCGATACGATTCTTGATCCTGGTGAGAAATATCGTCATGCCTTTTGCAAAGTAATTGGCATTCCTTCCCCGCTAGGCATTTTGACGTTTGAAGACAAGAGTTCTATTGAGTAATCATAACTAATTTTGTGGCAATTCTAGTCACTAGCGCGGTGCTGGATAGACTGGCAAATGCTGTTAATCGTCTAGCAAAGCATTTTGCGTGCACCAGTCGTGTGGAGGCCACAATGTCCCTATCAGCGTTGCTCTGTGGTAAGGAGTGCGGTTTAGCACCCGCATTGGAGGCCGTTTTCACTCATGGTATTCGCTCTTCTGGTGTATTTCAACGACGTCGACTCTACGCCTGGGACTTTTTCGGTAAGAGAGCCAACTTCCTTGGAAGTAGTTTTAATTTGTAGAACGTTTTGTTGAGCATCAGAATAGAGGCACAAGCGGTGATCAAGCACCAACCAGACCAGCAGAAGTGGAGAGAATGGACACCGCTCCTATGCACATCGGTGGCTTTGATGTGAGCTTTGTCACCTCACCACGATTCGTTCGGACTCTTCCACGCAACGGTGGCGGAAGCGGAGGTCCTCGCAATCTCGACAGCAATCCTCGACGTGCACCTCTTCCCAGCACGACTACTCCTCGACTCCTGATTAAGGGTGCTGCTGCTTTGCCCCCAGTTCCTGCACCTGCAGCAACCACTCTCACCGGTGGGTGGCAATCACAGCCCTGCTCACCTGGTATGCCACTTCACCGACGCCAGCGCTCCAGAAGCGCTCGTTCTATCTTCGCGCTAGACAACTTCATTTCCACCTTTCGTCACGTCAACCTCGGTGGTTCTCATATAGGCAAATTGGGAAAGTTTCAGGTTGCATTTCAAGTCTCTTCACCCACTGCCACTTCTCGCCCCGACAGCAGCATTGAGCACCAAGCGTTTTACTCTTGTAGCGAATGGTGTGTATTGGGTGCCAGGATCATACGATATCCTCATGGATTGCTGTACTCGCGACAACATCACCGGGTTTGGTGCGTCAACTCTACGACACCCGAATACCCAACTTCTTGTTGGATCCGGACCTTCGAGACAGCGTTCAGACATTGCTCTCCACACTGAATGATTTCAATTTTAAGTTGGATCCCGCCCTCCTTGGAGCCTGTCCAGACTCAGACATGTCATTCGGGACCGTGGAATAGTTCTCGTGGCATTGGCAATCCAACATCCTTCCGTCCATTCCCAAGGGCGAAGTCAACGTTTGAGGCACCGGTCGCCCACACTGTAAATGTCACTCAACTTGTCATTTAGCCTTGTCCAGAACACGTGATATCATTTGATAATTTTATTTCATCTTAAACATAATTTAAGTGCAATCCAAAACATTGTTTTGAATGCATAAAAGCAGGTCGACGCATGAATGGGACGTATGAATCCCATCAGCTTGTTGTTTGTCATTTTGCTGCTAACTGAGGTCGCTTGACCTCGACATAAGGTCACCGATGCTGAATGACCTATGAAGTGGCCAATTAATTTTTTGGTACAAATACAAGAAAAGTAACCTGTGGAAGGCATAAACCTAAGTTAATCAATAATATAGCGGCTAGATGCTAGGCCTTTTATTCATGCTGCTTTGTTTATTTGCAATACTTTGTTTAGATAACCATTTGATGCCTGGGGCTAGATTTGAATTTGTCTGGTCCTTGCGCGTATGGACTAGCCCTCGGGCGGAGCTAGGTCTTAATTCCTCCTCCTCCTCCTCCTCCTCCTCCTCCTCCTCCTCCTCCTCC